TGCAGCAGCCCGCCTTGTCACTCGTGCTCGAAAATATGACCACATTACAGACATTTTTATTAAACTTCATTGGTTACCAGTTGTACAAAGAATCAATTTCAAATTACTTTTACTAGTGTACAAATCTTTGTATGGTTTTGCCCCAAATTATCTATGTGAATTAATCGAATTTTATGTACCTAGTCGTAGTTTAAGATCTGAATCAAAGTTTCTTATTAAAACTCGTCAGGTGTGTAGTAAAAAGTCCAAGGTGTTATACAAAGACCGTGCTTTTGAAAATTTAGGTCCTAAACTTTTTAATGAATTACCTCTGTCTGTTCGTTCTAGTCCTTCAGTAGACATTTTTAAATCCAGACTGAAAACGCACTTATTTAAATGTGCTTTTAATATTTGACTGATTGTTTATTGTATCAGCGCCTTTGATCTTCATATGTTGGAATTGTTGCGCTTAATTAAATAAAGTTATTATTATTATCACTAGAGACTTATTCCTAAGCGACTACCATTATATTGATAGCAAATATTGATAGGCACGTCATTATTTACAATTTGAATGATCAATGTTTAACAATACAAGCCATGCATGGCACAGTCACCGGATTTAAGATATATAGTTTTGTTTATAGTAATAAGCTGGAATATAAACATGTCAGGAATATGATTATGATGACTGTTTAACATTAAAATGATTGACTTTTGTATCTGATCGTCAAACGAGTAATGAGAGATATTGCTCTGGAACAGCATTAATTAAAACAAAATCAGCCACTTTTAATACATGTATAATGAATATATAAAATTTGAACATAATCAGTCAAAGCATGTCAGAGATATGGCCTTAGAACCACATTCATTAAAACAAAATGGCCGCCAGTCTTCCATTTTGAATCTTATCTGAAAACAAAATGATGAGCATGAAGGTTCTATAATGTCCAACGTGTATACCAAGTTTACAAAATCCTTCTTTGTAAACAGCCGAGAAATGCTTGATTTTGATGATTTTTTAGCACAAATGGCCGCCATTCGGCAATCTTGAATCAGATCGTAAAACAAATTGATGTGCATATGTATAATATCATGTATTTATGTGTGAAGTTTGATTGTGATTGGTCCAGGCATTTCTAAGATACAGGTCCGGACGCAAGGACCCACGGACGGACGCACGGAGGTCAAAACATAAGTCCCCGTTTTCGGACTGGGTCCGAACGGGGACTAACAATGTCACATATATATTCAACTTGTACATTCACAGTATAACAATAAATACTCTGACTTTATATTGCGATAAGCCATCTTATCTGGTACCTAGCGATAAACACTTTGTATAAAATTGCATTCAATTCTTTGTTTATTTTCAACACAGACCACGGAATCGTCACCAACACAACACAGATTACTGCCTAGCTGCAAATGGGGTTTGTAAGTTATTATTTATTTTACATTTATATCTTGGGTTAAGGTTTGGTATAATAACAATGAATCTTACATATTTAATTATGGCAGCCAGATGTAAACCTGTCATAAGGTTCAATGAACTGGCCACAAAGTAATGTATATGTAAATAATATAGTTACGTCAACCAGGCGTAATAGGGCTACATAAACTAAATTGTCCAGTCAAAAACTCTCATAAGTGAACTATATTTCTTCAGGTGCGGAAAAGAAGAATATTGCTGTGGAGATCAACAATGCTGCAAATATCATTGTTCCAGATTCGCGTGAGTGGAAATAATATGATAGGAATATGAGATGAGAATAATTACAGCGGGGTAGACATTGACATGATTTGGAAAACATGAAGAAGCCAAATGTGCAGTAAGGGTGAATAATGACGTGCACACAAGCCTATCTGGGCTTTTGTGTTGATATGTAGAAAGTCTATTCCATTTTTCAGTTTTAGTAGGCCTTGGCTTGACTTTCAACTCAACCCCCCCCCCCTCAAAAAAAAAAAAAAAAAAAAAAACAGGAGAGAGACAGACACTCATATGTAATGTTCATCATTCAGATGCACGTTAAGGTAGAAGCCTACTCATAAATTTAAAAACCCAGAATTTATTCATTTTGCAGTAAAATGTACTCCAAGGTAATATAAGGATATTGACCTAAAAAAAGTTGGGGGTCACCAGCCTTTTTTTTTTCGAGAAATTGATGGTTGTATTTTAGTGGAAAGTCGCCATTTTGACACTATTATAACACTTTTACCACAGGTTCCTATGGCAGAGATATTATGCAATATCTCAAAATCTAGCCTGGTGACATAGACTGAACAACTCATATATTGTTAATGAAGGAGTACTTTTTGTTGTTCTGAATTATTTAAAAAATCTGGGTTTTAAAAAGTGTCAAAAAATGCAATTTTTCTTTAACACTGTGTTCTATGGAATTGTTCTAAAAATAGCAATTTTCAAAAAATATAAGGACAAGTTTCTCAAAAAGCATAACTGTAATACACAAAATAATGCTATTTCATTGTACCATGGGACATTAGCTTCATGATTGTACATAATAAACTAATGAACATTGCGATGCGATTTATGACCAATTTTGTCAAAAATTATGACTAGGCTTCTAACTTAATGCATTATTCCTATCTGGGGAAGGGTGGTTGGTACATGAACGTTACCCAGTGAGTGAATATAATCTACGAAATGTGTTGCTCCTTTCAGACAGCAGTTCACTTATAAACTATGCCGCATGATTAAATACATACAGACATGAGCCGAACATTACGGCCCGAGGCAAAGTCGAGGAATCGGTGATATGAATGAAAGTTGGAATTTGTAATTAATAATTAGCATAAATATGTAACAACAGCTCAACCACCTAATCACATAGAGTGATTAGTGGATATCATTGTTATTGAAATAATCTATTAATTGTGGTAAATTCCTACAGATCAAATCTTAGAATCTTTATATAATTTCAGGTGTTTAGACAAAGTTGAATATTGTTGTAACGAAGAAGAATGTTGTACGCACAACTGTGACGACATCGAGTAAGTAATGTTATTGTAACTATGTAATTTGTAGTCACAGTCTGATTGACCAATCACACTCACTTTGTTGTTTTTATCTGCAGGTGTCGCGATGACCAGTATTGCTGTGAACGTAATGTCTGTTGTAACTTTTCAGAGATTTATCATAATTGGTGGTTCTGGTGAGTATTAAATATTATAGTTGTTAAAACAGATCATCGTCAGTCAGCCTGCGTTCGGAAACGTATATTTTACATGCATTGCGCGCGTCGTGTGGGATTCATATCGGCGCGGCTCGATGACCGTGGGGCTATAAATTTGTCTTGTCCCTCTCAATGTTGATTGCGTTCACATTAATTTGTCGTTACTCTTGCAGGTTCAGTATTCTATTCATAGCCGCAATAGTATTGGGTTCTATAGTAGGAATGGCGTGTGCTGGGCGAAGAAGAACTGCCTCGGTCGTAGACAAAGTAAGAAGCTCGCCAGCAAGGCGATACAGAGAACTCGAAGAATGGTAATAAACAAAACAGTTGCAGATATCGCGTTGGAAACGTTCGTTTCATGTATCTTATGATTTCCAATTAATAATTTCCATTAAATAATAAACACTATTGTGTAAAATCAAACTACCATTTAATAATAAACAATATGTTCATGTGATTTGTAATTCAAAAGTAATGAAGAATAGGTGTACACCACGAATATGCAAACTCAACTGATTCATTTTTTCAAAGTAAACTTTTCTTGATCATCATTTTTTATATATTGTGTAAGTTTTTATAATATTTCCATTATTTGCATGAAGTCACATTTATGTTAGAAAGAAAACTTAGGTATTATACAAGTTTCTCGCACCGTGCAAACAGCCGATATTATGTCCTGCCTATGGATGGATGGATGGATGAATGAAATGTATGATCCTAATAAACAATAAGATTAAACGTTGCCACTGCACCACATACACTGTGATATATTCGATACTGTTGCCACGGGGACAAATTCCACAAGATTAACACCGTGTCACATTCCATACTGTCGACACAATGCAACATTCCATACTATTGACACTGCAACATTCCATACTGTTGCCACTGTGCAACATTCCGTACTATTGTCACTGTGCAACAATCCATACTGTTGACACTGTGCAACATTCCGTACTATTGTCACTGTGCAACAATCCATACTGTTGAC